AATCTGTGTTCCTACCTGCGTGCAGTCAAACAACAACGACTACACGCTCAGCGAATTGCTGAGTGAAAATATACCTAAGCTAGCATTAACTCACAGAATAGCACCACGTTAGCATACAAATAACAACAGCATGTGATCGCGGAGAAAAACAGCTTAAATAAACATATTTATTTTAACACCTTTCATTTGAATATCATGTCCTTATTTTATTTCACATCAACTACTCTGAGTCATGGCACCCCAAGCGATGCTATAAAAGGGCCAGCTCATAAACCCAAAGGAGATTCACTTTGGGCGGGTTGAAGCCCCTGTCCCTGCGATGCCAGGACAGGTCGCGGACTTCCGTACGTACGTTTTTAACCCAAGACCCCCGGGGGTGCAACGACGCCCCGCAAAGGCCACTTCCTAGCATATCTTATTGGTGATTCAATAAGTCAATCCAATTCAGGCCTGCCTAATTATACTAGGTGGCATAATTCCTATTTATCATTCATAATCCACAATATTCACCAACAAGATCAATTTAATTTAAATCTCAGTTCACAATTCACAACAAGTCACGTAGCGGCCTATCCGGGCCAAAGACCCGCGATTACCGTCATGCATAATCAAACAACCCGAATTGCAATTAACCCAACTTACCTGCGCGGAGTCGAGACCAAGGAATCGATCCTCGGGCCCGCTGCCCCCGCCGGAGTAGTATCATTCACCACCGGATCAGCCGACAACCTGCCAGACCGACCCGGCAGCCCCAACCTGCTGCCCGTTCAGGCAGCCCCACTCAACCGGCCCAACGCTGCCGGCCCAACGGCCCAATGCAGCCGGCCTAACAGCCGAACCCACCGGCCCAACACCCCGGACAGTCGGTCCCATGACCTGGTCAGCCCCAACTGCCCAGACAGCCCCAATTGAATGTAAACCGACCCGTTTGCACAAAAATCAATCCCAATTGAAACCCGAATTAACCCGATTTAACCAATTGGGTCCAAATCAAACCAATTGGGTCCAAATTGGACCCGCCGGAAACTGCCCGTACGCCGGCCGTAGCCACCACCGGCCAGCCGCCGTCGAATCGCCGGAAAACAGCCCCCTACACAACCCCAATCCAATCTAATGCACATTCAACCACAAATTTCACAATCAAACACAAAATTGCTACCACAAGATCCTAAACTACGAATTAATGACAACTATAGGTATAGGAATCACGAATCACCTCAAAACTTGAAGAAATCGGATCTTAGAGAGGAGGGGTTGGTCGCCGCTGCTTCTCGTCGGCCTGGCGCACGCGAACCGGAATAGAGAGAGAGAGAAACGGCAGCGGTCAGCAGTGTCGGATTCCTGGTCGCATCTCGTCGTCGGTGCAGCGTGCAGAGGGAACGAGCAAAACGGCGGAGGAAACGGACGGAGGGAAGAAGGAGAGGTTTTGTGCGTGTCTGTAACTCCCAAGCTAGTTTAATATATAATTAAATACATTTAGAGTCCACTTTACCCCACTTAACCAATTTGGATAAGTTTAACTCCAATTATCTGATTCGTCAACCGTATCTTGGACCCAATAAGCCCGATTTATGATCCGTTTGCGCGATCGAGTTCAGAACAGCGAGCTCTACAAGATAGGATTAACCCCCAATTAATTAAGGCAAGTTAGAAAATAACCCTCGTGTTGACCGGCCTAATAATTAATTAATTTTATAAATTAAATAAAATATTAAGCCGGGTTTCGGGGCGTTACATAAATACTAAACCTAAATCCTTATCAATTCAATTTAGTTCAGAACCTCCTAGATATACCAATGGGCCTATTTCTCATAAATCCAACTCGATACACAATAATCTCAATAAATCCAATAATATGACAACTCCACTATTTAGTTCATTCCATTATCTTGACAATCCTATCAAATTAGATTATAAAATAGGGATTGATAAATTTAGATTGATTTTGTGGGTTTTGTTTAGTTCCAAGGCCTAGATTCCATAAGAGTTGAATTTCAAATGATTATAACATACCACATACGTGGCCAAATTGTAATTTCCTTTTTGTTTTAAAACTAACTCCAACTTCAATTGGGGAAAGAACCAGCGATATTCCCAACGATAGACCGTCGTGACAGCCACATCAACGGCTCCTAGCGTCGACCATAGCAGCGGTAGCGATAGCCAAAATAGATTAGGAGGAATTCCCTCAGTCATAAAAATTTGGAAAGTAATTTCCTTAGCCACACTTTCGCATGTAATACATGCAAATCTTTTTTTAAATTATATTTGGGTGGGGTTCTAGTGCCACTGGAATCCGGTGCCACTAGCGGTGCCACCGGCATTTTGAGGCACCTCCGGTGCTCCGTTCGCAAAATTGACGATTCCTACCCCCCCCTAACCCACCCCCTAAACCCCCCACCCTACCCCCACCCCAACCCCGCCGTAAGCCCCCCACAAAATGTGTGGCTATTATGCGATTAGGTAATATACACCATCAATTGTGATAAATAAAAGTGTTTGAAAGGTTTAAATTTTACGATTACCAAGTTTATATATTAGTCTGAAAGGGGATGCAAACCTAGACGGGTTAGGGTGTTACACGTTGCATCATTTTTTTTTTCAAACTCCTAGATCTTCTCCGCTAGGTGAACTAAGCTCTCTTTGCCTGTACTCTCCCCAATATTTAATTCCTACATGTATTCTTCCCAATCCTTTAATATAATAAATGGACTACTAGTGTTCCCATGTACAGTCCTCTCGATTAATCTTCATTTAATGTGTCTTCTTAGTTCTTAACCTTAGTAAGGCTCTGTTCTGCTCAACTTATTTTTTCTGATCTGATCTAATTTTTTATAGTTTTGATCTGATCTGATTGGATCTGATCTGGTCTAATATGATTGGATCTGATCTAATCTGATCTGATTAATTATGAGTTGATTTAAAATTCAAATCAATAATTTGATTTGACTTTATAATAACGTTTTAAATATGTAATGATACTTCATATTATAATATAATCAATACTTTTTATTTTATGATTATTTTTTAATAAAATAAAATTAGTTAATTCATATCTTAGAATAATCATTCATATTATAATGTAATAATATTTTTTATTTTATGATTATTTTTTGTGAAATTAGAACATTAATTTAATATTTTAATAATTATTTCATGTATACATTAGAATAAATATTTAATTTATATATACATTAAAAAGTAATTAAATTTAGATAATCAATATATAGAAGAGATAGTTTTTTTATTAAAATATCCCATCCTTATTAAAGATCAAAACTTTAGAAACTCAAATTACAGGTAGAAATAAAAATGTATTTTAAAAGTATAATTAGATTGATATTGTCAATGTATTTTAAAAATAATTTTTCCAACGTCTAATAATTAAGTATTACTTTCTCAGTTTTCTATTTAACTTGTTTCTAAAGTTTATTTTTTTCATGTTTAATAATAATAATAATAAGAACAACAACAACAACAACAACAATAATAATAATAATTCTTGATGGGATCTGATATGATCTAATTTGGTTTGATCTAATTGGATCTCATCTGATCTGATCTGATTGGATCTGATCTAGTCTGATTCGATCTGATCTGATTTTAATAAGAATAAGAAAAAATAAGTTGATCAAAATGGGGCCTAAATCATCTTATACCCGATCTAGAGTAATTTACTTGGGTGATAATTTACTTTTAGAATATGTTCTAGGAGTTGATAGTTTTTCTATTTTGATAAAATTCTTGGTTTAGTAGGAATAGAATTATTCTCCATTATTATAGAATTATTCTCCATTATTATTTTTCTACATTTACACAATGATATACATACATACATATATATGATACTCTCTCCGTTCTAAAAAATACTTCCTCTTTTATTTTTCTACTTCAAACAAAACACTTCCATTTTTATTACGGAGTAAAAAACTACTTTTATCCTTGTTTTTTTATATCCTATCTATCACATTATACTTTTTCTCTAGTAATCTATCTATCACATCAAATGCAAAATTGAAAGTCAATTACAATTTAACACTTCATTATTTTTACACTTGGTCAAACTATGAATCGCTTTTCGAGAACGAAGGGAGTAAGTATTTTGTATTGAATAGGAATGAGAAGGGGTGGATATTAAAAAAGAATGTAGGAGGTGTGAATTACGAGTAAAAGAATCGCATGTTTGACGTGCGAATATGTTGTCCCCTTTCATAATTATTGTGATAATTGAACTGAAGATTGGACATTTTTTTAAAAAATAAAAAAAACTCTTTTGCATGTAGTACATGCGATTTTACAGGTGAGGAATTTAGTGTTCCACTTGAGGAATTAATCTTTATGTTTTTTCCAAGTGAGGGAAACCACCCAACAGATTACAGGACGGCGGCGGTCAACAGTTTCTCCAGTAGTACAGCAGCAAATGACAACAACCTCTCCATGTCAACGGCCGAGTTCCAGCATTCTAGCAGCAGCGGAAACAATGACTGCTCGCCACATGGAATTGTGGCAACCTCTCCAGCCACTCTACTGGAAGCAACGGTATGTAGTTCAGCAGCTAAGCTCCTTCGTGAGGCAAGGAGAAAGAAGGACAGAGCAAGAGAAGGAGAAAAGAACGGAACTGGTGGAATCAAAAATTGTACATAGGAGTGAAGAAGTATGAACACACAGAAACCATACCCAAATGGAGGCAAAACTCAATTCTAACTAGAGATAAACCATTACTCACATTGATTAATTGGAGGCAAAACTCAATTGGCTATGATAACCTCTGACGAAGTTTCCGGTGAGTTCCTTAAGTCTGTCCGGTCTAGTTTTCTCGTGCGACAGAGAATTGAAGAAGAAAGATGATGATTGTGGTGACCATTGGTAGGTTTCGTGTAACACCCTAACTCGCGTAACCAGAACTAGCGAGTTAGCAAACCGGTTTGCTACTAAGTTGGCATCAAACACAATAATTTCCAAAGTAATTTAAAACATTTCATTCAAAACAATATTTAATTATCCATTGGAGTTAACAAAAATGGTCTGGAAGCTTTGAAGTACTTAATTCAAAATACAAATTTGATTTCTTAGCCTTAAAATATAATTAATTCAAATGCAACATTAAATAATAAATCTCCCTCGCTGCCTCCAGGACCATTTTGTTATTCGTCATTCCTGTTACCTATGTGTAGCAAATAGGAAAAAGGGCTACACGCTTAGCATTGAAGCTAAGTAAGAAATATCTAACGTTTTGACTACGCACATAGACAAACCCACTAACTCATAACTTCATACAATATCATGCACACAAGTACAACATTAATAACATCACATAACAATCATTAAATGAATTCACAAGTCAAAAATCATTACCTTATTCATCTTTATTTATAGCTCATAACTTAAGTACCAAGCTAATATCAAACTTCCTTATTTACAACCTTATCTTCGGACTTAGAGCCTCTACCTACGACCATGACTCAAGTCTACCTTATTCAACACCTTATGATACAACAGAAACTGACCAATGAAGGAGTTCTTTGCTGGGTGGGTGGTACCCTGGTCCCCTTCGGAACGACAATTTTTGGATCTCGTACGTACATTTTAACCAGCAGCAACAAGATATCAGATCCAAAGGGCTGATTTTATCTATTGACATTTATACTTACAATCTTACTAAGGCAGACCTAGAGTTCCCCTAAGTACCCTAATAATTTATTTACATCTCTACAATTCAGACTTTTTCCAACATCAATCTCAATTCCTTATTTACTTCCAAAACACAACATGATTATATTTAATTATAACAAGAAAGATATCAATAATCAAATAATCAATCGTATAACTCAATTAGCAGCCTAGTGTCGAGTGTAAACACCTTCCACTTACCCTCATGCAACACATAAGGTCTCGAAGTCAATTCAAGTTTCAAATCAGGACAAACAAACAATTAATGAGTTGAAGAAGGGGATGACACAGTACCCGTCACGGTACCTTAGTACCGCCTGGCGGTACCTTGGTACCGTCTGCCCTTACCGCCCGGGCGTAGGTATCGGCAGTGACGGATGGTCACGATGGTCTATGGCAGTAGCAGGGTACCATCTCGACGGCACCTAGCTACCGTTTGGATCGAAAACGGTACAGAAACAGCATAATTCGATCATATTCGAAATCATTCAATACGTATAATGTTTTAAAGATTATTATCATGCAAATCACACAATTTTGAAGTAAGAAAACGTACCTGGTCGTCCCCGTTCAATCATATATTATAAATAAATCATAATTCAATTTTAATCAATTAAATCACATAATCAATCATACGAGATTACAAACATGAATTTCAAACCTATATTCGTAATTTAGCATTAGATGTCCATGTACTCACCTCGATTGATAAACGGTTCAAACGAAATAAATGAATCAAACATGATCAAGGAGAATATCAACGAAGACAAAGGAGCGCAGGTTCCGGTGGTCTTAGTGCCAGTGGAGTAGATGATAACGACTGAAACGGGTACACAAAGGATGGTTAGGTTGTTTCCCTTTGCAAGTCGAGGTAATAGATTGAGTAGGTGCTGATTTGACTTTCTTCTATAGCTGGATTTCAGATCTGCTATGAGGCCATTTCTCATGAAAGACCTTACTAGTGCTAACTGCTTGGGTGGACGTCTTGACTGGCTTCTGTTCCGTGTCTGGTTTCAGTCCTTTCTTCGTTTTAACAACCTCTTTGTCTTGCTCGTACATGAGGCCAAATTTTTGCCTAGATGCAGTAGTCATGTGCTTTTGAAGTTTCGAGCGCATGCCCTTCACGAACTTGTCGCAGCGACGCTTGGTGGTATTCACCAAGTCTTAGTCGAACTCAGCAAGATGATCGAACAATTTGAGGTATTCAGGTAGACTCATCGTACCCATTTCTAGATTCAGGAACTCTTCTCACTTCTCTTCCACGAATGACTCGAGAATGTACTCCTCTTTGAATACTTGATCAAAGTATGCCCACGTCACTTTCGCCAGATGATTCGTGTTTCGAGTAGTGCCTTTCCACCACTCGTATGCATTACTTTGTAGTAGCATGATCACGAGATCGGCCCACTCGCAAGCTGGAACCTAGGGATTCTCAAATACGTGTCACACATTCTAACCAAGCAAACTCTATCAACGGATCAAAGGTTTTCTCACCAAGAAACACTCCAGGGTTGTTCTTCTTCAATTTCGCTAATGTGATCTTCGGCTCAGGTTATCGAACGTGCATCAAAGTGTTCTGGTTCATAATCAGAACCTATTGCAGAATCTGCATCATCATCATATGATGGATCTATGGGACCCCATCATGCCCACCGTTTGGCACCTCTTAGTGTGGGTCGTTCTGATTCGTTTCCTGATTCGCGATTTGTTGAGGTGGGAACACACTTTCCTCTTCCGATGCATGATCGCATCGTGGTTAATGAAAGGATCCATTCTACAGTTTTACAATTTAACTAATTAAGAAACAATTAACAAATAAGCACATTATAAAGGATTCAAAACTACCTTCTGGAGCAGTGACGTCGCGAAGCAGTGAATGCCCTTTTTCTTCTTTTTTTTAAAGTAATTTTTTATTAGGCCTAAAATCGTTTTTAAAACCACATTCTCTGATACCAAAATGTAACGCCCCAACTCACGTAACCTAAACCAATTAGTTAGGAAATCAGACTGTTACGAATTCGGTATTCACATGCACAATATTTTTAAAACATTTAAAGTAAAACATACATGCATATATATTTAAAAACAACTCATAAGTTAATTGGAGTAAACAAAATAAATTATATTGGAAGCCTTTAAAACAACATCCAACATCCTTGTAATTTAAATAAACAAGTTCAACAAAGTATATTTAATTTAAATCAAACAGCTTGATCACACATAAAGTCAACATATTGGATTTATGTCTATGAGATTTATCCAGATTATGATATTGGATATCAAAACATATTTCATGTCGGCCCAAAGCTCATCAATAATTTATTTTAATCAAAACAAATTTGATTAATTGAGTAATTATTAATAATACGGCCCGGTTCTAGTGACACCGGAAAACGGTGCCACTAGCGGTGCCACTGGATTTTTGGGGCACCTCCGGTGCTCCGTTCGTAAAATTGACGGTTCCTACCCCCCCTAACCCACCCCCTAAACCCCCCACCCTAACCCACCCCAACCCCGCCGTAACCCCCCCACACCTTTAGAGCGTTTGAAGTTGCGAGAAAGCAAAAATAACTTCAAATGATTTCTAAGAAACACCCCCTTTAATTTTGAAAAACTGGCGTGAAACGGGGTAGTGTTCGGGAGAGTGTGAGATTGTTCAATGATCAAAGTGTGAATCATCTCTTAATTTGTTGAGCAAAGAGGGAAAAAGTATTCTCCCGACTCAAATGAAAAGCCTAGTCAACATGATGCATATATAAGTAATCATCACTAGGCTTGTAAAAAGAGAAGGGGATAGGAAAGTGCAAACCAAGTGTTAGAGCATAAGAAAGCTCCGTCCTATCAAGTGCATGCAATGAAGACTCTACGCACAAGCCTCTCTTGATCATCATGCATAGCTCGGGAAGGGCCTATTGAAGTATAGATCGAGCTCATTACGAAGTAGCTTCTCCATTTTCTCGCCCAAGATAGTCCCCTCTAACATCGCCTCAAGTGGAATAAGACTCTCTTCCTTGACCTCCGATTAGGCAGTGCCCAATACCAATAGCTCCTCACCTTTGTCGATGAAAATCTCCGAGTACTCCTCCCAAAAGCAAAAGAATCACTGGAAGCAATCTTCACTACGAGAAAACCCGACGTTTACAAAGGCTTCGAATATTGCAATCAAGGCTAATCACCAGACTGCTCTGGAATAGGTTCATCGCCGGAGACAAGAACCCACTACGTACCAAGCGGATCCGTCACCTGCAAGATAAGGTACGAAGCCCTCTGAAACTCATTCAGAGCAACTTCGTACCTCTTTCGAATGAGTTTCACTATGTTACACTCATTTTAAACGAAATGAGTTGAACTCAAAACAAACATAGAACTAAACCCTAAGCGCAGATTACTATGAATACAGTGTTTTATATATTCACTTTTGGTTTAAAAATTTTAGTAGCAAATTACTATGAATCCAGTGTTTTATATTACCCTTGGTTTCACCTAGCAGATGCAAACCGATTATGCTCACCATGTGGGACGAATTCATTTAAAATGAAGTTAAAACACCTCAATTTATAGTTGAAAAAGCTTATGACCATTGGAGATAAAAAAACTAGCAAAATCAGTGCATAAACAAGATGATTCATGGGAAAACTGCCTAGGCCATCGATGGTAAAAATGTCACCATCGATGGTGACAAAAATATGATTGTTGCAGCTCAACGGTCAAATCACCATCCATGGTGAAAAACTCACAATCGATGGTGTAGGCAAAAAATACATCTTCGAGCGAGTTGTTCCTCAACGCAAAAAGACTTATAAAAATATTTCTTTAATTATAAAAAATAATTTAAAAAAGATTTAAAAACGTTTGAGCATTGAAAAGAAAATATGTTGCCCTCACAACAGATTTTACCTAACGACCTATGTCTTTGAATCTTCGATCTTGAATTCTCGTTCTTGACATTCTCATCAAGTAATTTAATTTGCCTCTTGGTTCTGATCACTTTGATATTGTTTGTCATTTATCAAAACTTGTCAAAAAAGTATATGTACCAAGGAAGAGTTTTGGGCTCATGTGTCCAACAGTAACCCGGTGAGGGGAATTGTAGAAATATGGGATCCTTTGTAGAAGAAGCTCTGAACCCAACTAAGAAAAAGATGACTAGACCAAGATAACATTAAGAATCCTAAGACAATGATAGCATTTCAAAATTCAACAAGTCACATTTCGCATTCTAGACTTAGGAATACACTTCTCATAGGCCATCCTCTTTTGCACTTTGAGAAGTGGTGTACTCATGATAATCATACTCGGCCACAAAATTTATTTTCTAACTTAGAAAGAAATTCAACTTGGCAAATACATGAGAGGTTTCCATGTCCTCAGAATGGCTACTTTGACACGACCTCGCTATAAGTACTTGACATGAGAAGTGGGAGACTCCTGATATATATGTTGGCTTTGAATGCCGAATCCCATAAATTTGATGTTCTATATAAGACTTCTAAGTTACTAATGCTTTTACAGGTCGAATCAAATGCTCAAACCTGATTGCAAACTTATTTTGCCTTACCATAAAGGTTTCTAGACGAGCGTAGATATATGCAATCTTAAGGGTATGGTTAGAATGATGTAATCACACTTGCACTTGCACCTAAATGTTTTACTAAACCTTTTAAATAATACTTGAGACGGATGTTTTGAAAACCACATCAAAAGATGAAGTTTTTCTTAAAACTTGTAACAGTCATATGGTACCTAGGAACTAGACTAATGGTCCAGGGTTACCAGATAGGCTGTAAGATGGTATCGGTAGAAACAGAAAATGCCAAAAACATTCAGCTTGATATAGTACCCGCCTACCGCAAGACCGGTACCCTTACCGTGACGATACCCATGTACCAAAACTGGTACCATGACCATTCCAGAGTTTTTCAAATTTGTTTTTCAGATCTAATCAACCTTAAATCACTCTACAATGTATGTAAACGTATACCTACCTATTTGGATTAATTCATAAGCTATATAAACTCCGTCTAAGCTCCATTTTGATGCCAAGAACATTCTTTCAATCATCAACAACCTTCTAGCCATTTTCGAGTGTTTCAAGCTACTATTTTTTTTAATATTCTTTATATTTTCTTTATGTAGCTGGTTTTGATCTTTTCAAAAGTATTCATACACATGAAATAAGAGATTTGGGATTTCATCATTTACTATATTGCTCATTGGCTTTTTTTCTTGATTCATTTTGTTCTTCCTAATTCTGATGTTTATTTGTTTGGTAGATAAGAAAATTATTTTCAATTTTCTGTAAAAGTTTAGATAGCCTTTAAATCCTCTTTTTTGTAAGGTTGAAGATAGACTTGAAATTTTCATTTTTAAGCGGTAGAGATAGCCGTGTAAAATCTCTATATCTATTTCCAAGGGATGTTTGCCAAATCTCGTTTGGATCTTCTTGGTGAAGCTAAATAAGTCAGTGGAGGTTAAAATTCTTAAGGAGTCTTAATGTACATGAGTAAGGTATTCTAACTAGTATAAAATACTTGTGTCATTTTGTTTCTTGGTCATTATCTTTTTTTACTGCTTTGGTTTTTGCTCTTATTTTTCATCTTGTGAAAAGTTTTCAAATACTCCAATTCACCCCCCATTAGAGTATAAACCGACTATGAAGATTCCCTGGACAGTGGGTATCTGGCTCAGTTAGAACTCAAATCCTAACTAAGAGGCCCAAGACGCGATATCATATCTAAGTGATAGCACCCATCATCAACTATCGGCTTCAGCAGTCTGTGCTATAATCGGCCTCATCCCTCGAACCCAGCAACCAGGCCACCACACTCGGCCTTAGTCTGGTATGCATGATACCAACCCTCGAGACTCATCCAGAGGCATGACACGTTTAGCATAACTCGAGGTTAGCCTCTATAAGATGAAAGGTAACCATGCAAGGATAGGCAGCGGAATATAAAATTTTTAACATCCTAACATGATTATCTTGCCCAGAATCACGTACTAAAACTTATAGTAGTAAGAAATTCGTACCTTTCTTCGTAAGCTGTAAAAACGAAGAAGTCGTAGGAAGAGCGTTGAAAGTGCAAACGTAACCGTTCAAGCGCCCGGTCTCCAACTTTGACACACGAACAACGCCGGAGTCTACCACAATCTTTATGCCAGTAAAGATTATAGTAGTATAAAATATAAAGATTAAAATTGGGATAATAATAATCTTGTATATTTCTATAGAAAATATTTCCAATAATATTTAGAAAATATTAAAGATATTTTCTATACACAAAATGATATTAATGGAACCAAAATATTATTTTCTCACACTAGAAAAATTATGCCCGAATCATGCATATCAACCATGGCCTAATCTCACACCATTTATTTTGAAAGTGGCGTGCCAAAAGTGTAAATAAAAACAAATGATTAATTTCACTTTGTCATTAACTAAATGACAAAACATTATTAGCTCCACTAACTTCAATCAAGGAAATTTGATTCTTTAAAATCTCCACTTGGCCGTATGATGATATGAGAAGGATATTTGAAATTCTTCTCCACTAAAATGTTCAAAGTGTATTTTATTTGACACCAAAATTAATATAAAATTAATTTTAAATCAAATAAAAATACCAATATCATTTTTAAACAAGTATACAAATATACTTTAAATAGTTTATGTCAAAATAATTATTTTCATAATTAAAATGACAAACCAAAATAAAATATTCAATATATAATATATATATATTAATCGGTACATATATATAATATATATATATAACCGAATATTTATATATATAATATTATATTCCAAAATATTTTATTTTACTATTTTTACAAATATACAAATTACTTATTATCCCATTGTTTAATCTTACTCCTTAAATTGTCCAAAGTGTGTGACCCGTATAGGCACTTATAAAACTGGCCACAGTATTGGCTCTGCACCAATACTATAAGCAATAAGCGGTATCTAGCAACACATTAT